ATTATCAACAGTTTTCAGATGCTATTTTCCATAACCAAAGGAATACTTTAAGCTTATAAATTGAGCCTTGCTCTTTTCATTGTGGACAAAATCAAATCATAGTTTGTCTATTATAGGACTTTCTAGATAATTCTAATGAGATATTTACCAAAGATAAGTCTTTGTAATTATGTTTTAGATCTCAGGAAATGAGCATTTCTGGATGGAAATAAAATATATCAACATACAAATGTACAGTTTAATTAAAACACATAATATAGTGAATATTAAGTGAACTCAAGCCAGGTACTAAATATTGGAAATAGGTAAGAAAGCTAAGTTTGAAGTATTCTAAATGAATATTATCACAGTAAAAACATCTTGAATTAATAATATTATCATTTTCCTGAATAGAGCTTTCTATTCATAATTCTCCATACAGCCATCTTTATTTGCTTGTTCCGAAGACTATAGATAATAGGATTTAGGAAAGGAGGGACTACAGAGTAGAACACAGAAGTGATCATGTCCTGAATTGAAGGTGAGTTGGAAGTTGGCTTCATATACACAGCAGCACCTGAACTGAGAAAGACTGTTACCACGAGAATGTGTGGAACACAGGTAGAAAAAGCCTTTCTTTGTTCTCTGATTGGAAACTTGAGTACTGTAGAAAGTATGCGAACATAAGACATGATGATTAAGGAAAAACAGCCACCTGAAAACATGACTGAAGACACAAAAATTACAATCTCATTAATGAAAGTGTCAGAGCAGGATACCTTCAACAAAGAAGGCATATCACAGAAAAATTGTTGGATTATGTTGGATTGACAGAAGGAAAGACTGAATGTGAGGCCTGTGTGTAATCCTGAGTACATGAGACCACTGAGTAAAGAGACCAGAGACATCTGTACACAGACTTGAGGGTTCATAATCACAGGATAGTGGAGAGGATGGCAAATAGCTACATAACGGTCTCGGGCCATGATAGTGAGGAACACAAGTTCTACAGAAGCAAACAAAAGTACAAGGAATATCTGAGTTGCACATCCAACCAAGGAGATAACCCTACTTTCAAGTAGAAAGATAATACATGCTTTAGGTACAGTGACAGAAATGTAGCACATATCCAGGACGGACAGAGTTCTTAGGAAGAAATACATGGGGGTGTGAAGACTCTGGTCAAGGGTGGTGACTGTGACAATGAGAAGGTTCCCCAGCAGTGTTGCCAAGTAGGTCAGTAGAAATAGCACAGAGTGCAAGACTCTTAGTTCCCACACATCAGAAAATCTTGCAAGCAGAAAATCAGTCACTGTGGTAGAATTAGGCATCTTTAGGAAGTCTTCTTTTGCCCAGAGAAACAGATAAGAATCCTAAATATACAGGGAATAAATACATGAAAGCAATCTTAAGAATGTTTTTGTTTTAAAATTTATCCAAATTTATTCCATCTAATTGGTACTGATTATTAGGAAAAAATATGAGGTTGCCTTTTCCTCTTTTCTCAATATGTGTGTAATTTATTTCCAAGGTAGTTGTATTATATTAAAAATAAGTTACAATACAACATATTATATCACAAAAATGTTTCTCTGCTATGCATAGAGTTTTCAGTGACTAGCGATTCAGAAGTAGTTTGTCACTCTTTCTTCCTAGTCTGTCTTTGTTTTATAGCTCATCTGAAACCTTTCCACCATGGGTGACCCTGCTGGTAATTTAAAACACCGGTGGCATAGCCCTCAGAATCACAGCAACTCAAACCACCACAGCACGACAGACAAACGAGTGGTGGCCTTTTGGTTTTATGTCTATGCTGTATCTTTAAATTTCAATGTCAATCTTGATACAATCCTGATATAATCAAGATACATATAAAATATAAACAAGATACAATCAAGATGTCCTCTCCTAATCCTATCAATCCTGGCATAATCCTATCAATCCTGATATAATCAAGATATATATAAGATATAATCAAGATACAATCAAGATGCTCTCTCCTAATCCTATCAACCGTGGTTGTTGTTGTTGTTGTTGTTGTTGTCAGGTTCCATCGAGACGGAACCGACTCATAGCGACCCCATGCACAGCAGAACGAAACAATGT